GGGGGGCTGTGCACAGGCAGCTGCCAGGAGCCCTCGGTGTCCCTGGCTGCGAGGGGAGAGCTGAGATCCTCCTCAGGAACGATGAGACGGGGTGAGGGCTTTGGAGATTGCACTTTCAAACTGGATTCCTCTGCTCTCATCAGCATCCAGGTTCTTCTCCAAGACACATCTGAGTGGCTCTTGTCCTCCAGCTGAAGGAGCTGCCAGCAGGGGCAGCTGAACCCAAGGCTGGTGGACAGACTAATTGTTCTCCCTCTACACTGAAGGACAGTCGTTTGGCCTCTCAGGACCAATGAGGTTTCACTAGCAGTGCAGCAGAACTGGTGCTGCCCAAAGCCCTTCTGAAGAGTGGTTGGGCAACCAGAACAAAATAGAGACACCAAAATGCCCCAGCTCTGCTCAGCTGTCCAGGGATTGGCGAGCGACAACACTGCAGAGCTTTTGGATATCCCATTGGATTTCATCTGAGACCAGCCCGTGTCCCTATTTCCCCGTTGCTGTGGGACAGGACTGAGACCTGCAGAGCCTCTAGTAGAGCCCCTGCTCCCAGTGACACCCTCAGCCAGCGCCAAACAGAGGTGGTGAAAGGGACCTGCAAAAGCTCTTCCTATAAGAAGAGAGGCAGCTCTAAGGGGGTTTCTATGGGATTTGTGATTTGCTTAGAGAAGTTTCCTCTAACTTGTCACTGTCCTTTTCTTCATGGAAAGGTCCCAGAGAGGCAGCTCTAAGGGGGTTTCTATGGGATTTGTGATTTGCTTAGAGAAGTTTCCTCTAACTTGTCACTGTCCTTTTCTTCATGGAAAGGTCCCTGTGCCCAGAGGCAGCAAATGTCCAACAGCAGCTTCATCAGTGAGTTCCTCCTCCTCGCCTTCACAGACAGACGGGAGCTGCAGCTCTTGCACTTTGGGCTCTTCCTGGGCATCTACCTGGCTGCCCTCCTGGGCAAAGGCCTCATCATCACCACCATAGCCTGGGACCACCACCTCCACACCCCCATGTACTTCTTCCTCCTCAACCTTGCCCTCCTTGACCTCGGATCTGTCTCCACCACTGTCCCCAAAGCCATGGCCAAGTCTCTCTCAGATACCAGGGGCATCTCCCTCCTTGGCTGTGGTGCACAAGTTTTTCTACTTGTCTTTTTTCTTTCAGTAGAGTTTTCTCTCCTCATCATCATGGCCTACAATTGCTACGTTGCCATCTGCAAGCCCCTGCACTACAGGACCCTCCTGGGCAGCAGAGCTTGTGTCAACATGGCAGCAGCTGCCTGGGCCACTGGGTTCCTCCATGCCCTGACGCACATGGCCCATACATTTTCTCTGCCCCTCTGCCGGGGCAATGCCCTCGACCCGTTCTTCTGTGAAATCCCCCAGATCCTCAAGCTCTCCTGCTCACAATCCTACCTCAGGGAACTTGGGCTTGTGGTAGTTAGTATCAGTTTAGCATTTGGCTCTTTTGTTTTCATTGTGTTGTCCGACGTGGAGATCTTCAGGGCAGTGCTGAGGACTTCCTTGGAGCAAGGGCGGCACAAAGCCTTTTCCACCTGCCTCCCTCACCTGGCTGTGGGCTCCATTTTTTTGATCACTGCCATGTTCAGCAACCTAAAGCCTCCCTCCATCTCCTCCCCTTTGCTGAACCTGGTGGTGTCAGTTCTGTACTTGATATTGCCTCCAACACTGAATCCCCTCATCTACAGCCTGAGGAACCAGGAGCTCAAGGATGCTCTCAGGAAGCTGATCACTGGATGTTTTCCAGAACCATTAAACTGTCCATCTTCTTCTCTAGTGCAGTTCTTATGTTGCAGGGCCAGCCTATCTTAAGGATTTTCTGTTGGTGGTTTTTCACTTTCAATACTGTTGTGACCCTCTTACTAATTCACTCTCTACTTCTCTTTTCTGACTGAGTAGGTGTGTAAATGAGGAACTGTGCCCTCCGTGTTTATTTTGAACAAAATAAAGGACCCTGCAGTGACTTGTTTGCTTGAGGTCCTTCCTGTGAGCCCTTCTGTGGAGCTGCAGGGGCAGTGCCTATGTGCAGAGGTGGAGGAGTAAAGAGTCCCTGCACAGCAGCTCTGCCAGGGAGCACCAGTGCTTGCTCTGCCCTGAGCGGCTCTTTCTTCACTTCCAGGCTCTCCTCCTGAGCCCTGGGCTGCTGGGAGGCCTGAGTGCTCTGGCAGCTTGGTGCCAGTGCTGCTGCATGGCTGTGCTGTGACTGCAGGCAGGGACAGGCCATGGGCACCTCTGGGACAGAGCTGCCTCCACATCAGCATTGCCAACACAGCAGCGCATCTCCTCAGGGCAGGGCCTGAAGGCTCAGGTCTTCTTCCAAAGGTGATCTCAAGAACATGCCCAGGGAAGTGCCCCACAAATGACAGACTCAGTAAACAGCTCATCAGAGTGAGTGGGCAGGGTGGGGACACTCAGCAGTGTCCTCACACAGCCAGGAATCCCAAGTGAGACATGACACTCCAGCAAAGCAAGGACTGGTCTGGGCCTGTCTCTTCTGGACACACAAAGGAACCTGCTTCAGGGAAGTTTTACCCCACACCTAGCCCAGACCAGCCACCATTTCCTGCACTGTCCTCTCCTCTGATCTTGCAGAGGCAGTTTGTGCCTCCACTCAAACACACATTTCTGTTCCACGGGGAGACAAAGGCATGCACAACATGCCCATGTGGTGACATTGAACCCAGTCAGCACAAACACCATCACCTCTTCCTGGGGGGTGCCAAGAAGGGCAGAGACAGTGTCTTGAGGTAACTTCATGTTGGGAGTCATGTCCCCTGAGAAACCCCCTGACTGCAGCACTGGAATGGGCTCCCTTGAACCCAGGTCCCTGTGTCCTCTCCTCATGCCATGGGGCATCTCTGCTCCATCACTTTCCTCTGACTCCCTGGCTTCTCCCTTTCATTACACCTGTGACAGAAGCTCGTCTGTGGAGCTTCTCCCCTGGGCAGGCAGAAGGGATTCTCCAACAAGAGCAGCACTGCCCACAAGAAGATGCATTTCTCACCTCTCACAGGGCACAGAGCACAGATAGGAAATAGAAAGCTCCTCGGAGCAGAGGCATCTTCTGGGTTCCACACCTTCTCCCACAACCTCTTTAAAGAGGTCCCAAATAAACAAATGTTCTTCCTCACAGCTGTCTTACCAGGAGAGAGCAGACAAGCAGGACCTTGGCCTTCCATGGAGAAAGGGGGATCAGACATCATGGGTGGGGTTTCCCCTACTGGGAATAGGGAATGACCCCAATCCTCCGAACAAAGTCTAGCTCCTCTCTCTCCTGACCTGCCCCACGACTGCGGTTGGGAACATGCTCACCATCCTGCTCCTGGTGCCAAACCTGTATCAGTTCAATCCTGTGACTTTCTTCCTGGGGAATGTGTCCTCCCTGGAGACCTGTTCCAGCTCCACCACCCTGGACCAGCTGCTGGGCAGCTTGTGGACTGAGGACAGCACCATCTCTGCTCACAGCAGGGTTAGAGCTGTCTCCTGCTCCTTTTGCAATGCACTGAGTGGTTCCTGCTGGTGGTCACCTCTTGGCATGAGCCCTGAGCTGTGAGCCACCCACATCTCTTGGCAAGACTGGGAGGTTGTTCTCCAAAAGGCAGCTGAAATTTGGCTACGAGGATTTCTGATTTTCACTCTGTGGTTGTCCTAGCTACAGTTCCATGGCTCCAGTGTGATGGACCATTTCCACAGTGATCACCTGGCACTCGTGCTCTTTGCTTTCCTCGGCCTTTCTTGAGGTCCAGTTCTCCCTTTCCTGTCCATGTTCAAATCATGGGAGTGCATCAGAGGTGCCACCCTGAGGAAGTTCTCCCACCCAGTATAGACAGGCAGAAGGCCTTCTCCACCTGTTCATTTCACCTCACTAATGCCACTGCTTTTACGGCATCCCTCATCCCTGTCTGTGTGATGCCCAGAGCAGCCCTCCTGAGATAATTTAACACAGCTCACTTTCTACACCATCGTCAGGTCCCTGCTCAATCTCCACATCTAGAGCCTGAGGACTCAGAAAGGTATGGGGAAGCAAAGGAGCACTAAGAAAAATGTTCTGGAAAGCTTTGAGAAGAACGAGGAGCCAATGGGAGTTGTGGGCCTGCAGGAAGAAATCAGTTCTGGTTGCCTTTGAAGAGGTCCCGAGGAGCTGCGCAGGTGTTTACTGTGTCCTTTGTATTCCTCTGGAAGTGTGGAATATGGAGGAGGCTTTGGGTGTGGGAAGGGGCAGAGAGGTGCTGGTGGAGCTGGCCAGTGTCCTCGTGAGACCTGTCTCAAACCCCTTGTTAAGGCCTGAGTCATCAGAGAGGTTCCTGGGATGTTGGAGCAGAAAGACATGGAGCCCTTCTTCATGAAGGATAGGAAGGAGCATTGGGAGAATTGTCAGCTGGTCAGCCTCACCTCAGTCCCTGGGCCTTGGGGATGGGCCAAATGCTTCTGCAGCCTGCTCCAGGCAGCTGAAGGACAAGAAAGGTATTTCTGAAGCAGGATGGGCAGGGGAATGGGAAGAGCACGTTGCCTACCCAGACTTTAGCCAGCCCTTTGACATGGTCTGCCATTGGCTCTTCAGAGCCAAGCTGGTGCTGACTGGATTGAAGAAGTGGATCATGAGGTGGGTGGGAAGCTGGCTAGATAGTTGGGTCTCTGCCAGACAGAGTTATTCTGGGACTCAATGAATTTTCCACTTTGAGAGTTCATGGAAAACAGAAATAGGGAAAGGAAGGAGGAAAGAAATCTGGCCAGATGACCTGTG